AGTCATTCCATTTGCTGTGCTAGTTACTGACAGAGAGACTCTTCCTAACCAGAAGCCAGAGAAAAGAAGGAAGCAGGAGCATTTCATGAGTGATCACTGTTTTATAAACCTCTCCTGGAATTTGATCCCTCTTTTGTAAAAAACAGCTGGATCAAACTGTTTCTTTTTCTTTTCCGTTGCTTCTGTGATGTTTTTTCTTCTGTATAAATCTCCAGTAAAACCTTTTCATCTACAGAACACCAAGTGAATACTGATAGAGTGTGTGTTATTACATCTTCAGCTTGCAGCAGTAAAGTCAGTCTTAAAGAATCACTGAGATAATCTTTCATTTTGCTATATCAACCTCAGGTAAAGACTCCAAGTGCTGGTTTTGTATTTATATTAATCTCAAACAATACTGTTCAGCTTTATTTAAAGACACTAACGTTTACAATTAACCCTTCTGCAGAGAATAGTATTTGGAATACATTAGATGAAACTGCAAAAAGGGAGGGAGCAGTATTTCCATTCAAGTTTTAACAGCTTACAAAATAAGTGGAATAGTATCTCAATTCTGTTTTTTTCTCTGGACTGTGATTTTCTTTTTTTTAAATAATTAAAAAAATTATCTGGAAATAAATATCTTAGTCTGCCTAAATTAGAGTCTTCCATAACAATTCAAGGCCACGTGGCTTCGAGGTATTCTTTATTCAAAGAATGGCATTGTGGAATGGTGATTTCTACTTCTACTAAGTTATTTCTTTTCCCCAACAGGGAAAGCAGGACAGTAAAGCAGTGGCTCCTCGATTCCCCAAAGTTAAAGATGAAGGATGGTTTTTGATATTAGGAGAAGTCGATAAAAAAGAACTCATTGCCCTAAAAAGAACTGGATATGTCAGAAATCGAAATACTGTTTCTGTTGCTTTTTATACACCAGAAACCCCTGGAAAGTATGACAAATTTACAAAATAAGTTTCCTTACTTACTATCTTTTCCAACTAGACAAGACCTAATTTCTAAACTAATGATACTGCTTTCTATATTTTAGGTGTATCTACACATTGTATCTCATGAGTGACAGTTACCTGGGCATGGACCAACAGTATGATATTTACCTGAACATTATACCAGCTAGTACGTCAGCTAAAGTCACAACAGAGGTGTCTGATACTCCAAGTCACCTGGCTCTGAAGTAAGGTGATCTGAAGGGCCCATCCAAAAGGACTGGTCTTCCAGTTAGACATCCCGTCATTCTGGACACCCAAAAACGTGTTTGCCTTAGTGGAACCAACTTCAAACCTCAAGACAACTAGGAAATTGAAATTGACTACTGTATTGACTCTGGTAACACAGAGTTAGCCACAGTGGCCTTATTCCTTTATGAAGAGTTGTCTTTTTTCTTGTTTAATCTTTCTCCTCTCAGAAGTCATATTGTTGATTCAATTTTGACACATCAAAATAAAAGACTAAAAGATATTGTAATTTGTGCAAATTTAGGGCTAAAAATCTTCATTTTGAGAAGTGTCTGTAGCCTATGTATTGATGTAGCTTAAGTAGACAGTTTTTTTAATCTATAGGGAAAAAGACAAAATTTGATCTAAGAACTGCTGAAAACAGATGTGTTATATTTCATGTTTAATAAAAATATGTCCATAAGAATGTTTTGCATTAGATTTTTCAGTGTAAAGCATGAGATTATATAGTAACAAAATCCTCCTCTTACACATACTACATTTTAAAGGTGATAATCTAAAGAATTTCATAAAATTATATTAATTATAGGTGCAGTAAATCTGGTTCTAAAGGCATCCTAAATAGTATATTTGTCGTATAGCAGTGATGCAATTTATATGGATCATAATTAAAGTTCACCTTTTGCAGGCATATACACAACATAATATATATACACACATCATACATGTATATTACGTGTTTGCAATTTATTTAGTGGTTTTCCCTGCATTTTGAAGGACTAAGGCATACAACATTGGGTGTCTTATTCTAGGGTTCAGTCCTAACATGGGCAACTACATTCTTTAAATAAGGGAGAGTGACACTCCAGAAATGGGGTTTACGTTACATTATTGAGACAGCTTGATGAGCACAGAAGAGTTCTGCCAGACAATAGGCAGTTGTCCAAGAGATGTGCAGCTTGATGTGATAGTACTATGAGAGCACATCCATTTGCAAGACCCGAATCTGAAGGGAGAATGTAGCAGCATCTATCTTCTGCACAATACAGCAATGATCATGCTGATCTACACATCCTGCAGTCAGTCCTTGTCTCAGCCTTAAGGAAATTCAAGATGCTAAGCAAGTACTTGGAGGCAGTGTACTACAAAAGCATCATGTATCTTCATTCAGATAGACTAGACCTTAAAGTGAATATTAATATTTTAACTTGTTCAGTTTTACCTTTAGCTGATAAGCATTACCTCGCCGAGTGATTATTTTGTTATCCTGTCTGCTGTGTTACACCCAGATGAAAGAATACAGCCCATCGCCTCTGGTCCTGCCACCAGACATCACTGAGAAGAGCCTGGCTTTGTCCTTGTTGACGTCTTCCCTTCAGATATTTATACACATTGATGAGATTCCCCCTGAGCCTTCACTTCTCCAGGCTGAACAGTAACAGCTCTCTCAGCCTTTCCTCATGCAAGACATGCTCCAGTTCCCTCATCATCTTCTTTGTGGCTCTTTGCTGGATTTTCCAGCATGTCTGTGTCTCTCTTGTACTAGGGAGCCCCAAACCAGACACAGTACTCCAGATGTGGCCTCACCAGCACTGATCACCTCCCGTACCCTGCTAGCAACGCAACACTGCAGCAAACAGAAGGCTGGCTGATTTCAAAGGGTCAGTAGTTAAACATTAATTTCTTTCATATGTATCTGGCACCTCTAAATTGTGGGAAGAGTTTTTGAAATAATCAGTTCTGTAGTTGAGTGTTTTCAGAGATCTTCACATCACCCGATGATGTTAAAAAAATATATTTCATTACTATAGGTTGACTTTATTGCCTGTAAATATATGCAATAATAGAAAAGTTGTCACTATATTTGCAGCCTGCTAGACGCTACAACTGCCACCTTTGCTGTCTAGACTAAAAGTAATGTGGTGGTGTGTCACACAGCAAACAGCCGTTTTTTCTCCAAACTGGTAGATAAAAGTTTGATTATACACACATTTACTTAGTCCTACACCCATTTTTAAGAGAACTGTTTAATCTGTAAGCAAATTTTCACAGAAATTAAGTCCTTTCTTTGGGAAAATTCTTGGCTGAAGCAATATATTGTCCCTGAACAATTTTAATTAATTAGGAACAAGCTATGCTACAATCAGCATACCAACATAGTGACTCTCGCTCTTGTTGCTTTGTAAATGCACATCACAAAATAGTCCAACTGCAGCATAGCAGACAATAGCTTCACTATTCTGTATTAATCAATCATAAAGTCTCTGTAATGTCACTCATACCATTTGTACTTTGGGTTGGGAATAATTTCATTTCCTAGCATGTTAGTTTGGTTTAGAAATAGCTTGGTGAAATTTTTTAAATAACATATTTAAAACTGGTTTGGGGTTTTTTTACGTAAATGTATTGGATTCATGAAGACAAAGTCTGAAGTAATATAGAACGAATTTAAGCAAATTGACTAGAATCAGTATTTATCTGAAAAATCTGAGAGAAGGAATTCTGATATATTGGAAAGAGCTGCTTAGAAGGAACAATCAATATGTTCAATCCAGTGATATTTAATGGTGTGATATTCTCTAAGTGAGAATAGCTGTCTGATGAAAGTATGAAATTAAAACACAGGATAAAGACAAAATAGAGATAATTACTTTGGTGGTATAATTACCATCATTATGGGTAAAAGAGCAGATTAACAACACATACAGCAATTTTTCATGTTAAGTTTCTCATTTCAGTTTACAAGCAGGTTTTATTTTACTTTTCCCCACACCTTCTGGGAGCAGCTGCAGTTAGTGCCTGCCTGTTCATGTACAATACTTCCTCCAAAACTTGGAAAGAGCAACAAAACCCACACATATCTTGTGTAGCAAGACGTATTTAAGCCTGCCCGTGAGACTGCACGTTTTCCACCTTACCCTGTCCTAATCTGGTATTGAATGGCATCACAGCAGTACTCAGCAGGAGCTAAAGGAGGTTTGGGTCTGTACAACCATCTCCCAGTTCTTCTGAAGGAGCTCATGCAACCCTATCTGCTTTTCACAACCTTAAGTTTCTCCTTCTAGTCCAAGAACTGAAATTATCACAGTGACACCATGAAGCCATCTTCACTACTGCACATCTTTCTCTTTTGTTGTAAATAGAATATTTGAAGGCCCTAATTTCACCCAGATAAATTCAGGGGTTTATGCTACTGAGCCAAAATTCCTCTTCCTCATCATTCATTTGCTTCTAGATACCGTCAGGAAGCAAACTTCAGCAAGTCTCACATCAACCTCCATCCTAAAGGACTTAAACATTCACTGAATGAGCTGCATTTAAAGAAAGGTAAGTTCTGTAATTAAAATTTTCTAGTTCTGGGGGATACTTAGAAGAAGGTATCTCATGTGCATCTGCTCACACACATCACAACCTGAATCTGAATTCCTCCCTCACTCAAGAAAAAGAGGCTGTGATATTTTTAAGACAGTTTGAACCAATCCAACAGGCATTGCTTCTCTGCAAAGAGCCTTATTTACTATAGCTGGTTCCTCAAGTATTGCTCTTGTCTTGCCTCCACCCCTCCTATTTAAGGTAGACTTCCCTTTAGCCCCTTCCACTGTCCACCCCTCCTATTTAAGGTAGACTTCCCTTTAGCCCCTTCCACTGTTTGTACACCTTACAGTCACCCCTGTCAGAGACAGTCATCCCATACTAGTGGCAGCAAATTATCACAGAATTTTTTAAGCTCATCTCTCTGTGATGTGGACACTACTCAAGCCAATATAAGTGCTGAAGCAGAAAAAAAAGTAAGGCAATACAAGCAAACCATGTATACTTTTTCCACATCCTAACGGTGTTCATAAAAAAGTCTGAAATCATGCTGAGAGTAGAAAAAAAAATCTGTATGATAATTCTGTAGCCAGAAAGCTGAGCCACAGGTGTAAAAAGAAGCCATCCATCCATTCAAGCATGCTTTACACCTCATATGAAGTGGTAAATTTGTGTGATTTTTATATAAACTTTTAGTTTTAGGTACCCTTTCTTCCAGCTAAATCACACACCTTTGGCCCCAAGTTAGTTGCTTACATGAAGTTATCTAGTGCCATTTAATATACAGTATCTCACTTGGCCTCTGCATTCAGCTCCAGAAGAACACATGCCATCTGCATAGGGTTGTGAGATGTAAAACTTGATCTGTTGTATCTGTCACTGTGGGTGCCTCGAGCAACCTAAGGCTTCTGAAATAAATAGCACTGGTTATCTACAGTCTGGTAACCAAATTGAGCCCTTGTTACTTATTTTGTCACAGGTAACCAATTCAGCTGCTTCACTGCATCTAATGCACTTTAAAATCACCAAAGATATTTTGGTTGCCAGTCCAAAAGACAGCAAGTCTTTCACTGGTCCTGTGTCACTTCTGCTATCCCTGTGCAGGTATGCCACTATGATGGGATAGGTACTTACACACTGAGGCTTAATAACCCATGCTATTTTGTAAGACAGAGGAACCATTAAGTGTTCAAATTCTCTCTTCTAAGCTATTTTATAAGAAGGGAGAATTCTCCTGCTTCATGAGAACCACTGTTTCCTCACAAAAGGTTTGCATGCCCAGACAGATACGTGAGCTACAAGAAGGTGAGCAGGGCCTGAAATTTTGATGCACATTTTTCTGAAGTGGTTTGCAAAAACTCACGAAATTAACTAACCAGGTTTGTGATTAATGTCACACACTGGTAGCAGTAAGAGGTTAAGCCACTCTCATAAAGTGTGTGAAGGGGACTTCAATATTAAAGGAACTTCTCCGGAAAGCAACTGTATTGCTTGTCCTAAATGGGTCTCTGTATAAATAATTCCTACAGAGAATTCCATCTAGACAAAAGAAACAAGCCCTGTAGAAAGGATTATCCACAGCTATTATGCCATCCTGCAATTAAATATGTTTACAATATGTCTTGTACTCAGATCTTCTAATGAGCTCCATACTGCATCAATGTGATTTGAATCTGGGACTCTCCAATCTTCCTCCTGCATCTCTGTTCCCAGAAAATCACAAACACCTTCTCTGCTCAAATCTCTCCTCAGAAATAAAGAACATAAAAGCCTCGCTAAGCCTGTGCATTATGGTTCAGTGCTGCTTTTTTTCCTCCAGTTTACCCTTGTCCTACCAAGACTGTCAATAAGACACGCATCCAAAATAGGCAGCTTGCATCTCTCCACACTGGAGATTCGTAACAGCAGAACTAGCGACATCTCATTGCACAATGACAAAGATCACACAGGCAATAGAACAAGACAGAGATATCACTGAAAATATGGTAAACGACTGCTGAGAGGGACCAGTGTCTACATTTAAATTTCAGAATAGAAATGGAAATATGGGGGGAGGAGGAAAGTAAATAAAGACACTGGCTATTGTTCAAGTGATAGAAACCAATGGAATCAAGAATGAAAAGTGTTCTGTAATGACTATTATCTTTCCAAATAATAAGATTCACACTAAGTGTAATGACAGCAGAGGTGAATGGGGCATTTTGAAAAATCACAGTCTTGAGAATGTGGTATACGTACAAATAGTTATAGGGCTGTGGTATTAATTAGTGGCAAGAAGAACAGTAGAAAAGGGAGTCTAGAAATAACACCATATTTTTCTAACTACACTCTAAATCCCTACATAAATGTGTTACACATCATTCATAGAATCATCACAGAATAGTTAGGGTTGGAAAGGAACTTAAGATCACCAAGTTCCAACCCCCCTGCCATGGGCAGGGACACCTCGCTCTAAACCATATCACCCAAGGCCTCGTCCAACCTGGCCTTGAACACTGCCAGGGATGGAGCATTCACAACCTCCCTGAGCAACCCATTCCAGTGCCTCACCACCCTAACAGGAAAGAATTTCCTCCTTATATACAACCTAAACTTCCCCTGTTTAAGTTTTAACCCATTACCCCTTGTCCTATCACTAGAGTCCCTAATGAAAAGTCCATCCCCAGCATCCCTATATGCCCCCTTCAGATACTGGAAGGCTGCTATGAGGTCTCCACGCAGCCTTTTCTCCAGGCTGAACAGTCCAAACTTTCTCAGCCTTTCTTCATATGGGAGGTGCTCCAGTCCCCTGATCATCCTCGTGGCCCTCCTCTGGACTTGTTCCAACAGTTCCATATCCTTTTGATGTTGAGGACACCAGAACTGCACATAATACTCCAATTGAGGTCTCACAAGAGCAGAATAAAGGGGCAGGATCACCTCCTTCAACCTGCTGGTCACGCTCCCTTTGATGCAGCCCAGGATACGGTTGGCTTTCTGGGCTGCAAGCGCACACTGCAGCTGGCTCATGTTCCTTTTCTCATCGACCAGCACCCCCAAGTCCTTCTCCTCGGGGCTGCTCTGAATCTCTTCTCTGCCCAACCTGTAGCTTTGCCTGGGATTGCTCTGACCCAGGTGTAGGACCTTGCACTTGGCATGGTTAAACTTCATGAGGTTGGCATCAGCCCAGCTCACAAGCGTGTCAAGGTCCCTCTGGATGGCATTCCTTCCCTCCAGCGTATCAACCGAACCACACAGCTTGGTGTCATCGGCAAACTTGCTGAGGGCGCACTCAATCCCACTGTCCATGTCAGCGACGAAGATGTTAAACAAGACCGGTCCCAACAGAGATCCCTGAGGGACACCACTCGTTACTGGTCTCCAGCTGGACATTGAGCCATTGACCACAACTCTTTGCGTGTAGCCATTCAGCCAGTTCTTCATCCACTCAGTGGTCCATTCATCAAATTGATGTCTCTCCAATTTAGAGACAAGGATGTCGTATGGGACAGTGTCGAACGCTTTACACAAATCCAGGTAGATAACATCAACTGCTCTGCTGCTGTCCATCAGTTCTGTAGCCCCATCATAAAAGGCCACCAAATTGGTCAGGCAGGATTTCCCCTTAGTGAAGCCATGCTGGCTGTCACCAAGCACCTTGCTGATTTTCATGTGCCTTAGCATCCCTTCCAGGAGAATCTGCTCCAAGATTTTGCCAGGCACAGAAGTGAGACTGACTGGTCTGTAATTCCCTGAGTCATCCATTTTCCCCTTCTTGAAAATGGGGGTTATATTTCCCTTTTTCCAGTCGTCGGGAACTTCACCTGACTGCCATGATTTTTCAAATATGATGGCCAGTGGCTTAGCAACTTCATTCACCAGCTCCTGCAGGACCCACGGATGGATTTCATCAGGACCCATGGACTTGTGCACGTTCAGATTTTTAAGATGGTCTCGAACCAATTCCTCTCCTACAGTGGGCCCAAGGTCTTCATTCTCACAGTCCCTGCATCTGCCTTCCAAGACTTGGGTGGTGCGGTCAGAGCCTTTGCCAGAGAAGACCGAGGCAAAGAAGTCATTCAGAACCTCAGCCTTCTCCAAATCCTGGGTACCTAGTTCTTTCGAGAGCTTCCTGAGGGGGCCTACGTTGTCCCTAGTCTGTTTTTTATTTGCTATGTACCTGTAGAATCCCTTCCTGTTTAATTCTAACTGGGCCTTAGCTTTCCTAACCTGGTCCCTAGCTTCCCGGACAACATCCTTGTACTCTTCCCAGGCTGCCTGTCCTTGCTTCCACTTTCTATAGGACTCTTTTTTCATTTGAATTTTTCTCAGCAGCTCCTTATCCATCCAAGGATGTCTCCTGGCCCTCCTGCTGCACTTACTTCTAGCTGGGATGCAACACTCCTGAGCTTGTAGCAGGTGATCCTTGAAGACCAACCAAGAGTCTTGGGCCCGTCTGCTCTCTTGAAGTCTAGGCAGTGAGCTTGCTGAATGCTCTTCTCACTGTCCTAAGGATCTCAAATTCAACCATCTCATGGTCGCTGCATCCAAGGCTGCCCTGCAGTGCCACATTTCCAATGAGCCCTTCCCTGTTGGTGGGCACGAGGTCAAGGATGGCACCTCTCCTTGTAGGTTCCTCTATTACTTGCAGAAGGAAGTTGTCTTCCACACAATCGAGGAACCTCCTGGATTGCTTGTGCCAGGCTGTACTGTCATTCCAACAGATGTCAGGGTGGTTGAAGTCCCCCATGAGAACGAGGGCCTGTAAGCATGAGGCTTTTCCTATCTGCCTATGGAGTGCTTCATCCGCAGATTCCTCTTGATCAGGCAGTGTGTAACAGAACCCCACAGTAATGTCTCCCACTGCTGTCTTCCCTTTAACCCTGACCCACAAGCTCTCTGTTAACTGCTCACCTGTCCCCAGACAGAGTTCCATACTCTCCAGCCTATCCCTAACATAAAGGGCAACTCCCCCTCCCCACCTGCCAGGCCTGTCTTTTCTAAAGAGCCTGTAACCTTCCATTCCAACACTCCAGTCATAGGAGACATCCCACCATGTTTCTGTGATGTCTATAATATCATACCCCCGTAGACGTGCACACATCTCTAATTCCTCTTGTTTGTTACCCATGCTACGGGCATTTGTATAGAGGCATCTGAGCCGAGGTCCAAATGAAGCTGGCTCATTGGCTGGAGCAGCCGGAATATCTCTGCATTGTTCCGAGCATTTATTATAGGTGCTGGCCACTGACTGGGAGTGTTGGGATGGAATGATGCCCCTTCCCTCAACACATCTAGTTTAAAGCCTCCTTGACCAGTTTGGCAAGCCTCCTACCAAAACTGCTCTGCCCCTTAAACCAGCTCCACCAGCCCCCACTAGACCTGGCCTACAAACTTGGGTTCCATGTTCAAGACATCCAAGCCCCTCACTATGGCACCACCCTTTTAACCATTTATTAACCTGGCTAATACTCCTATCTTTTTTTATGTCCTACCCTGTATCCTGGAGAACTGGCGAAAAGACTGTCTGAGCTCCAGAGTCCTTAACCACCTCTCCCAGGGCTCTGTAGTCCTTCTTTATGTTCCCCAGGCTACTACTATCTATATCCTTAGCACCCACATGTATCACCAGAAGTGGGTAATAGTCCATGGGGCTTACTAGAGCAGGCAGCCTCTCTGCCACATCCCTGATCCGTGCCCCTGGTGTGCAACACACCTCCCTTGAGACCGGGTCAGGCCGACATAAAGCCTTTCTTAAATAAAGCATACTACATAAAGCAATGCCTTTCGAACTTCATAGGTGCTTAAGAGTAGGAAAAATTCCATTTGGTTTATGCAAGCTGAAAAAGCATGCTCATACTTTTCAAAAGTCACAAGATAAGGATTTTTATTTTACTGATGCTTGGAAAGCTTGGGGGCGGTTTGCTGTTTAGCTTTCTGAGGACATAAAAGCAGGTTGCTGTGCATCATCTTTGGTACATAGATCTGATCTGGAACTCCCTGGAGAACTGTAACAGAATGTGCAATGACAGCTCTTCCCTTTTGTTGCTGAAACCAAAATGTCTGTATCAGTGTTACCCTATACTCCAAGACCAGGACCTCTCTGAAAGAAATTGACACTAAGCATTTAGTTCATTTTCTACCTGTTTTGTAGGAGGTGCTCAGTCAGGTACCAGCTGTTAGGTATGTTGGCAGCAGCACTCAAGCTCAAGCAGAGGATGGGAAAGTTTACATGCATTCCTCTGCCTTACACATCCTATAGCAGGGGAGAAGTATGTCAGCCCTTCAGGTCACACTTCAGCTTCCTTCACCAGCGTGTGAAGAAACCTTGTCCAGAATTTTTCAGGACCAGGGTCCTCAAGGAATGCTGAACTTAAAGAACCAAAACTTTAACAAATAGGGTTGTTTGGGTTTATGTTTTTTTTAGAAATAAATTAGCTAGATGGATTGCTAGAATATTGTTATTTGTAAACATGAGGTAATAAAAGGAAAAACCTCACCAAAAGGATACTGACAAGAATCCTACTTTGTTTCTTCCTTTTAAAACCATGTAGTACCCATGTATTTGTCAGAAATTCTGGAGGAACAGCTGGATTAATTTAATTAAATCAATGAAAATCTTTTGGGAAATATAGGTGCTGCTAAGGAAATGAACAGAACCTGAAAATAAATCCCAACATTAAGTGATGAAAATTATGCTGAAGTTTGTTTTCAGTTGATGCATTGCCCTTTTTGCTTCAGAGACCGCAGGATGAAATATATTCCCAACATATACTATTAGCAGATCAAATTTAGTTTCTGCTATTACTTTCAAAGGGTTTGGTGAATAGAGAGTAGCATTAGTATTATCTAATCCTTCACTCAGACCTAGGACTCAAAGATTAACAGCTGCAGATTTCATAACATTTCTAATTCAGGGATAAATTGTATTTTCTTTACTTGGATGGGTAGGTAATGTCCTAAAGTTATTTAATTCTTAGGAACCATTGACTTTACAGGAACAGACTAAGAACTCATGACCATGAAAAACTGCTAATAAGATGAAATTAGATGAAAAAAAGTATCTCTAATGAGAAAAACAGGATAAGAATCCCGTCTCCAAGGAGGGACAGAGCTTTGTCTCACGCAGACAGGGCTGCTGTGAGGCAACAGACGTGTTTGGTTTTATTATACAATCTGCTTTCATTACACCAAATTATTCTGTCATGATGGCACGCCTTCCACAAAAGCATGCTCTCCGATAGGGCACATTACAGGAAATAATGGTCAGAAAAGGGAAGAAAGAACTCAAGGAGGGAATTTTACATGGGAGTAGATGGGATAGCACAATGCAGCTAATTTTTAAATAAGAAAGCACAAGTCTTCTCTCTCATTCTGAAAGACAGTGAGCCTCCATTTTCAGGGGAAGGTTCCAAGTTAACATATCCTAACCAGACAAACACCTCTCCTGTAGTCTTAGGCAAGGTATCAAACATAAGTTACATATCTGTGTTCCATCATTGTTCCAGGCTTGCCTCTTCAAATACAGTTGTGCAGTCTCATTTGAGATACCAAATTTTCCATGTTCACCAGGTAGGGAAATTTCAGCACCTCACACCTTGAATTCCACTCTGGGTGCATTCAGAAGTGAGAGTCTTGGCATTTAAAAATCCTTTCTTAGCTATACCCCTAGAGAAGTGTATGCTCTTCATTTTATAAACTATGTATGATCTTCCTTCTGTTTTACACACCTTTGCTTGTAGCCCTCAAGTTACATCATACCAAAACAATGTTAAAAATAAGTATTTCAGATTAAAAACTTAAATTAAAAAAGGTCCATAACCTTACATTTGGAAGTATAACATGTGGCATTAATTTAGTCAGTTATGTCAAAATTTCTCAGGGAAGAAAGAATAAACAGATTCACATATATATGTATAATCATAGACATAAACATTATAGTAACATGAACATGTTACCAGTTATTAATAATTAGTAACACGTTCATGTTGTTGACATGAACATAACAAACCACTGAAGTTAGCAGTTACTGCTGCTACCACTACTGAAGGAAGGCAGGAACTCACCAAAACTAACATTCAGAAAAGAAATGTTGCTTCGATCTCTTGGGAGAGCAAAGAAATTACTGACAAGAATTAGATCCCTGTCTATGTGTTTGGTTTATGCATAGCTGAAGATAATCTGCTTTAAAAATAGCTTTCACTGCTTCATTTCTTTACTTAAACCCCTTTATTTTCCTGCAATTAAAAAGAGATGATAATTTAAAAAAAAAACAAAAACACACACACACTTTGTCCACATTCATTATTTCATTCTTTTATCTGCCACTTAACCTTTCCCTGTCCAGCTCAGAACACCAATACAACATTGTTCTGCCATCTTTGCTCCAAACCACAAAACTTCACGCTATAAAAAATAGAAGTAAAGTAAGATATAAGAATAAATCAAGTCATTTCCTGTTTGAAATTTTTTTCCCAATTCTTCTTTCCCCATAATTACTCACACTCTTCCATTTCAGCCCTCATATCCATGTCGATTTCCCAATCTGCCTAGTATTGTTTCTATTTTATTTTACCCCTCTTTCTCTTTTCCATGCTGTACCTTCTTTAGTCTTGTAGACAAAAATAAACATATCTAAACAAGTTAAAAAATTATTTTCTTACTACTGTTGCTGCTACCCAGAGCACTTTTCTCTGGGCTTTCTGTATTTTTCATTGCCTTTTACATTTCTACACCTTTATCTTTGAACTGTGTTCCAAACCCTGATTGTGGCCTCACCTTTCCCCTCACTCCTCCCCCATCACCTTTGTTATGTGATCTGCTATAACCCTTAGAGTAGTTTGTTTTTGATCCCGAGTGCTAGTCACAAATCTGTTTGTGACAGATCAGGCTCTCCCTTTTCTATCCATCCATTTAGTGTATTTGCTGCAGACTTCTCCATGTTTTCAACAATAAGTAATAAAGTCTATCTCGTCCATATGGACAGAAAGAGGAAAAAACATTCCTTCCCCTGGGCAAAAAGTTAGATGGTATTAGGCATCTTCAAGAGGTATCAATATGTAAATATATATGCTATCAGTAACACCTAACAATAAGATTAAGACTACCACAGAGCCTTCCATCTTTCTCCTGTTGGCCACCCTTCACTTACACGTTAGAATACCATCTGTGATTGCACAGAATAGAATCTGTGAATGTCCATGGCTAAACAATCACAAAACCAGAGGTGGAGCATGTTTCAGACACACTTTCTTCATTCCTTCACTCATACTGAAGAGGGATAAGCAGCACAAATCTGAATCAGCCTTCATTTGACCACAGGAGATACATACTTTTTTCCAGCCCTAGGCTATGCTCTTCCACCATCTGAGGCCCTCAAGCAATCAGTTAAACAACACCTGACTGAGAAACCAGTCAGGCCACAAAGTGTCTATAGAAAACTTCATCTCCAGGGTTAATTTCAGCTCACATTCTCTTAGTCATAAAGTATTACTAAAACTGTCCTAGGCAAAGGTTGCTTACCACATGACAGTTTGAGAACAGATTCTTTTCAATTCAGGTATAAAATAGCAAGTTCCTATATTCCACACTCAAACAACAGTTGTCAGGCCCCACAACGTGCATGAGACTGGATCATGGCACAGAAGGATATAAATCCACATTCTTGAGATCATAAATCAGTCAAACTGGTTGACTGACTGCAGACCCTCATAGGACTGGGTTATTCTCCAGCTGCCCATGACGAGATTCCCCTGGTGCATTCAGCACTGTGAGAACCAAGATACTGGTCTTATTCAGTTGGATCCTCTTGCATTATGTTTCAAACTGTTGAATATGGATATCTCATGATGCTAAAACATAACCAGTTCCAGTGTCCTGATCTTATACAACTCTTCCCTTGACAGATCAATACATTTATCAGCAAATATTTTATTTCTGAAATAACTAAAAAAAAAAAAAAATTAATTACATTCATTTGACCTAAGCACACATTTGAGGGAGACAAACTCATTCCACTTCACGCTAATTCTTGGATCTATATTAAAAATAACCAAAACTAACAAACAAACAAATAAAAACACCACCACCCCTATGGGATTTTGCTTCAAAATGAGGGGAAAACCCTATAAGAAGATCAGATATGGGGTACAAGATAACACAGACAATTTCCAGCATAAATGCTAGTTATTAGGTGTCATGTAGAGTCAGGAGTTGCCATGGAATCCATTTGCTTCTAAACCAGCTCCTCCTGCTGGAATACTTTCTCATTATTATTTGTTTCAGTAGCACAAAAGGAGCTGGCTATAGAAGAAATGTTATTTTAGAGTAAGTTTCTACTATGTCTACAGTCAGACATGAAATTAAAATCTAAACTTAAAGCCATATTTCTATTCAAATGTAAAGCTACATTACTGCAGTCAGAAGAACAAAGTCATCGTAGCCTTTTTACAGATACAGTAAAGCAGAAAAAACAAGTTATAGCTGAAGTCATCCTTTCAGCTGTCTTCCAGGAAGTGAAAATAAACATCATATGATGGCTACTATTTACATTTTGCTATGTTTATCTCCCGGAATGCTTAGCTTTTACCATTTTACACTAGTTATTCTATGCAACAGCAGCCCCTTTACCAGCCTAATTCCTAACAGCCTGGTACACAGAACAGTGTGTGCATGTCTGACACTGGGTTCATTAGGCCAATGAACTTACTTGTTGTGATGTCAGCTTCAGTAGATGGATTTCAGAGGAAAAAATGCAATCATGCCTTCAAACTCTTGACTTGCTGATTATTGGGTTTCAATTCTTTTGTATACAATGTGCTGCAGTAAGACAGGAGGACAATACTGGAAAGTAACCAGCAATATTATAAAACTATGTAAGTGATTTTCAGCTTGGCATTTTAATACTTATTATTAATATTATTATTTATAATAGACATTGACTAGAATTGCATCTGGAAGCCCTAAACAGAAATAGGATCCTACTGTGATCAACATTGTACAGAGATAAATACAGCCTTTGCCTCCAAGAGCTTATATTGAATGGTCCCAGCCTTGTAAAATGAGCTGGTCAGATAGATTCTTGCGCCCCTGCAGAGTCCCCCAGCCCCCCAGGGCAGTCAGCTTCCTGCATAACCCTCCGATATGGAGAAGCAGCAAGCAAGCTTTGGAATCAGGGAGTCTGAGTCTTTCTAATCCATTCCTCTCCCTCCGTTTAGCAGTTGAACTACACCCAAGCTTAGATGAGTCCACTATTTCACCAGACTTCTGACCCTTATTTACATCTCTCCAACTCAAAAGTTTTGTTCCTTCCAGGAAAACAGAGGAAGCTCAGTGCCATGCAACACCCTTCTCCCTCCAGCCCTGTGTTTTCTAAGTCCCCATAACTACAGGCAGACTTTGGCACCCACCGAAAAGTCTGTGGTAACTCTCAGGAAGCTCCCCAGAGAGCAACATCTTCTGGAACAGGCACTACCCTTGGAAAATCAAAAGAACATGGACAGGCAGGCTACAGATTGACTCCTTTGCCCTGGAGGGAAAACAGAACTGTCACTGAAGCCCTCCAATGAATAGAAGCCGCCCTCATTAGTAAACAATGAGGGCTGAGCTGTGGGAAGAGGACAGGGAGCCACAAGCCAAGCGTGACAGCTAGGCCATTAGGGCAAGGGCCTCACTAACCAGGGCCCGCCCCACACTACCTGAGCAAGGAGATCTGGGTTGGTACAGGGATAACAGTCAGGCTCAGGCCAGAGCACAGCTCATCAGGAAAGTTCATAGTGGCAAGGCAGATGCAAGTTCAAGATGGGAAGTCAGTCCATGCATGGGTCAGGGTCCAGATCAACAAGGCATCATAGCAGTGCTGCCAGAGCCAGGAACCCCTACAGGCAAGCTCTGAGGAAAGGTGTGAGCATTGCTGCCAGGTGAGGCCAGTCAAGGCAACTAAGGCTTATTAGTGCGCTCAGGGGCTTCATACCCAGAATCTTCTCCTATCTTTGCCAGTATGGCTGCTCTGACAAGTGGTTGGGTGAAACCATGGGCCAGGAGCATTTTGTGCTGAAGCCAAAATTTAAACCAGGCTCCACAATATCCTTAGGATTTGTTACATTTCAAAAATGTGGCATTAGCATCACCAAGCTACTGCCAGACCAAATAAATAATAACTCCTTGTTCATCTACCAGATAAATCTGACAAGAGCTAAACAGAGTGAGCAAGCCCTAGAGATTCCTCCGTCTAAGTGCAAGTAGTGGATGCTTCTCGGGAGAGGCAATGTGGGGAAGCTGTCCTTTTAACAGGCTCTAGCTTCAGCTGGTTACACCCAGCCATCACATTGTCTAAACAGAGTCCCACCATCAGTGAGTAAGAGCCAGAATTCAGGGTTCAGACAAAACATTTCAACAGTGAGGCAAAACTTAAATAACAAAAAAAGTATTAATCTCAGGCATATACCAATCAAAAAAAAAAAAAAAGTATTAATCTCAGGCATATACCAGTCCTTGGAAACACACCCCTACCCCTGCGCAGCAGACTCAACACAGTTTGAAGTAGGTTAAAACCAGATTCCAGTTTACAAATCTGGTGCTGTTTCCCTGTGCCCCCTTCCACCTTAAGCAATTCATCCCACAGTGTTTTCCTCAGAGACATCATCTTCTCTACATCGTTTCCAAAGAAAACGGCTACAAACTCAGTTTGTACTGCAGTTTCAATAAGGAATCTATTCACCTCATGGGGAATGCAGAAGAGAGTAGAGATGTGCTTGCAGAGTGCCCAAGTAATTGAGAAACTGTTAAGTGACAGAGGGTCAGACTCCCAGCTTAGCATGCAGTGCTCCGGAGCGTAAGTAGACTTAGCCACAAACAGGTGTGAGACTAAAACAACTCAAGCTCCTATTAAAACCCACGCAGGGTACACTTCCCATCTTGCATTACAACAAAACTGTAAGCATCCTGGTGATTGTTGTGATATACACCAAGTGCAATGGGCACCAGTTCTGAAGCCACCAGGCAACCTCACGCCCTGCATCCCTCCTTTCTGGTCTGATTAAGCCTATTCTCTGAGGTGATTGGGAGGCCAAAGGCAGAGTTTCAGAGCAGCAGAAGGGGGTGGTTCCTCTTGCTATCGATTTCATTTCAAACTGCATGTGTTATTTTGAAGCCAAGTGTGTCCTCGAGGAGGGCTAAGCTGCTTTCCTTCACTTAAAGCAGTGATACAAGCCTATTTGTGACCTGTTAATTATCAGGTTGATAGTAAGAACAGACTGTGGAACGGATCCCACTATTTTAAGCATTATTCTTTGGGGTGCTGAAATTTAAACAGGCTTCTGATGACAGATTTTTCCCCTGACTAATGAAATAACTTCTTTGCTAATGAAAGCCAGGCCTTGGGAAAGCAGATTTCAGTGATAGGGATTGGAGAAAGCCTAATGCGGCTTCGGCTCCACTAGCATAGGTAAGTGTGGGTCTCACGCTGTACCTGAGGAGGTTTTCCCCCAGACACTATACCAGGGCAAAACCCCAACAAGGGAGAGCGAAATCCAAACTAGCAAGCCTATAAGTGAGTAAAATAACGTAGAAGGGACGTTTCCTCAAATCTCCTCCCGTTGCGGAAGAGAGGCCCGACCCCAAGCAGATGAACGTACAAAATTAGGGGGGCGGAGGTATAAGGAGATGGGGAGGGGCTAGCACTGGCGGCTCGCGTCGTGCTCTCGATAGGCCCCCCGGGCCGCGGTGCAGGTGAGGGCATGCTAATTGTGACAGCAGGACCGCGCCGAGCCACCGCAGCGTCTCTCTGCCAGCCTCCGTCTGTGCGGGGCGCTGCGGCGACGGGGCGGGGCGCGTTGGCACGCACAGGCGCGCTCGTGTCGGGGGCCGTCGCGGCGCGTGTAGCGCTGTGGACCCAGCGGCCGTTGGCGTCGGGCGTGTGGCACGGAGGGCCGAGCCGAGCCGAGCGGGGAGGCGGTGTGGGGCTGCGCTGCTTGCTGCGAACCGCTGCCGAGTCACCAGAGAGCCTGGCGGAAACACCGCAGCCGAACAAAGCCCTCAGCCGCTGAAAAGCTTCCCCTGAAGTGCGCCGGGGGCTCGGCCTTTCGTTAGCGACCCCCGCCTATGCGCCAAGGGGGAGGGAGGGAAGCAGCGCCGCAGCTACCTGCAAGGCAAAGGGGCCACTCACAGCCGAAATCGAGGGAGCTCGTTCCCTTGGGGGTGGTTTCGCGCTCCGTGGGGAGAGCGCGGAAAGGCCCCACCGGCGGCAGCGAGGGCGCCCCGCCGGTCTCGGAAGCGCCTCCCCACGCCGGGCAGGCTGTGGCGTAAGGGGAAGCCCCCGTAGGTGAGGGGCGGAAAGAGCGAAGCACCGAAACCGCCCGGGCCGCTGGCACCGTGCGGCGGCAGGAGAGAAAGAATGAACATTGATGCAGCTGGAAGGAGTACAGCAGCTAAGCGAGGTGTCTGAGAACACAGGGAGGGCAGGAAACACTTCTTAAAGTCTGTAACTTCTTCAGAGTTCGGTTCCAGTCCCGTGTCCTTCCTTTACCAAGGTCGTTTCAGCTCATTTCGGACGTTCAGCATACCAGGCTCTTTTGGAAATGCAGAAAGGAAAAACGATGTGTCTGGGGGTAATTGTTACTGATCACAAAGCAGAGTTAAAAAAAAGAAACAAACGTTTCTTTATAGTTCATGTTTTCATTCGCTGCTCCACGTAAGAGTAAGACAGCTTGACTTCCGATCATTAGCGGGAGTGTATTCAATAAGGTAAGGGCTAAAAGGTACTGACCTTTGACTCCACTGGGAAAAAAAAAAAAAAAAAAAGAATATAAATCATCTCGTTACATTCATGCCCAAACCGATAAAACTGAAAGGTGTGTGTGGTCAAGTGAGCTGCTCCCCCCTCCCCCCCGCAAAGCATTGCTTAAAAAAGCATGGATATGTTGCCAAAAACTGTTTGAGTCACCGAAAATAGCTTAGAATCGTGCCAGTAGTGGAGTACTATAATTTTGCAGTGTTGCTATAATTATTTGTAAGAGATGCGTTCGGATCCGCCTATGTGATAGGGCTTCTATCCAAGCGAGGGTCTGCGAAGTGTTTCCTGCGTTTTGTCAGAGAACCGGCTTTCTCGGTGCCCTGCTCCCCTGAAAGTTCTAATGGTATTAGCAAAAGAGCAGCAGTAAAGCACCTAGAGCAGGCTCGAATCTTGGGGGTTAAGATTTACATCAGTTAAAACCCATTAATTGCTTCTGAATGGTCTCTAAGGGCGTTTGCCGTGTGTGTGTTTCTGTCAATAAAGCCTTGATGAGGGCATGGGTGAAAATTCCCTGGCACGCCGATGCACCAAGATACCCGAGTGGCCCCTGGCTCTCAGGTTACCGGTCTCTTGGGCACGGGTGGATGCAGCACCCCGGGGCCGGGCAGGGCCGGTAACGATGGCGCAGTCACACCGGGACTCCCCCCCCAAGTAGTGCGGGTCCAGCAGAGGCCCCGACGCCTTCTCGCCGGTACGGAGCGAGAGAGGTAAGGATTGGCATGTCGACGTCTGGTTGTGGCCAACACCCGGCCGATGGGGACTTGTTGTAAATAATCGTGAGAGCGACCCGCACGGTTAGTTCGATTATACTCACCTTTTGCAAGCACTATGAGGAAAGCGGTGTATGAACGATGGGTTCTGCGTGACAAAATTTTTCTCTCTACATAAGAAATTGTCACTTTTTTTTTTTTTTTTTTTTGAGGAGTGGAAGCGGGAATTAGTAGACGCACCCAAATTCGTAAGTATATCAGAGTACGCCAGAATGTGCTGGAGAAGAAGCTGGATCAGACTTGTCCTATAGGGAAATGACCCAGCAGGGTGGTTTTTGTGGGTTTTTTCCCTCTGCTTTGATATGTACAGCTCCCCCCCCCCCCCGCCCTCCCGCACACACACATTCACGCAAGCCGCAATATACATATTGTGCCTGGCTACACCAAGTTTTCTATACGTCTTGTTGGAAACCTGCCTGAAACGCTTTATTTTCACACAGCCTTTCTTGAGATATCCCGCTTTAGTATGCGTCTGTTTAAGTCACATTGCGCTGCTTTACCTGCTCAATTTCCTAATATTATCTGTTTTCCAGAGTATTCTTGCCCGCGAGTGAATGCACCTGAACTGAGCGCAGCGATCCCTGCGCTTCAGGCGGCCAGAGGGTCTCTCTCGCTTCCCCCCCACTTTCCCGTGGTATCCGGCTCCACTTGCCGACAGCAGGGCACCGGCAGGACACCGCTGTCCCCCGCTCGGCAGCTCCGGTCCCTGCTTCGCGGGGTGACGACGACAGGGGCACACAGGGGGCGGGAAGCCGCAGTGCTCCCCCCGTGTCCCCCGGGGCTGGACCCCCAGCCTGCAGGTGTCCGCTCCGATGGTGGGGTTGCTCCTCGGTGTAACCGCAGTACGGTCACCCTATGCACGGTGGTGCATCCACTTTATTTATAGAGCGGCATCCTGTCCTTTCCTCTAGGACCGACGGGCTCCACCGGACGCCCCGCCGAGCCCGCCGCGGGTGACATGGGGCTCTTG